TGGTTACTGTAATATTGGTAATTAAAACAGTTACTATAAGATTGGTCAATGAGATGGTCACTATAAATTTTTTTATCAATATTTATTCTTTTTTTTTAAAAAAAAAAACTCAAATCCTTCCTTCATTGTTTCTATTTTTTGTCAAGATTTAAATCTCGAATCTATGTATCGGAGAGTTGGGTCACGCATGTCGAGATGAAAACATGTTTATTTGCAGGTGTCCATGATAGAGACACGTCAATTTTGTAGGTATTCGTAACGGAGACGTGTCCGATTTGTATGGACATGATTTGTCGAAGCGTCTAAGGCACTCATCCGGTGTCTGCTCCAAAAGAGTGTCGTACTTGGGGATACAACAGTCTCAGACCAGACCGTACATATTTAGTAATACTATGTTAGTGTTTTAAAAAAAATATACTTAAAATAAATATTATTTATATACTTTAAAATTATCACTAAGACCAAAATTATTTATTTTATATCTTGGAGGAATAAAAATAAATAAAAAAATATTTTATGTAGAACAAAATCATAAGTAACTTATTTTAGCATAACAAATATTATTTTACTAGGATTAAAAAGTTAAAAAAACATTTATAAATTTTAAAAGAATAAAAAATAAAGAAAAAAATTTCATGGGATTCAAAATTCAAACTTACTTATTTTATGTAGATTAAAAAATATTTAAGCCTGTGCAAAAATACAATATACATTCAATTTTCCATAAATTTTGGATAAAAAATTATTTTTTAATCTTCATAAATATATTATATTTTTTCCTTTCCATTTATATATTCTACGACCTAAATTCAATTTTGCATAAGTTTGGGGTAAAATATATTTATTACTTCCGTAAATATATGAATAAGTGATCATTTAATTTATAATCATGAATTTTGTTTATTAAATTATTTTTTTATAAATTTAAAACTTTCTAGCGAGAAACACAATCAATTTGAACATTTGGGTTGTTTTCTGAAAATCTCGAGTTTCGTCAAACTCTTTCTCTAATAAGAGCGACATTTTCTTTGTTTCTTTATGGTGATGCCAGAATTGAGCCAAGAGAGGGGAATGAGTTTCGATCTGAACGACGTCGTTAAGGAGGAGGAGGAAGAAGCGCGGGAGTCATCACTGTTAGATAACAAGTGCTCCACGATGAAGATGCAGAACGACGTCGTTAAGGAGAAGAAAAGCATGCAACTGCGTTTGCAGCTATCAAGGGAGGAGATCGAGGAGGATTTCATGAGCATGACGGGCCGTCGGCCACCGAGGAAGCCCAGAAGGAGGCCCAGGCCCACCTTCGTGCAGAACCTACTCGATGTTAGTTTCTTCTTCTTTATGTGTATAATCTATATGCTTTTCTTGACTTAGAATATTCAAAATTTGATTTTTGTGCAGAGCCTTTTTCCTGGTTTGATGTTAAGAGAGGTTACACCTGATTTATACGACGTTCCTGAACTACCTCAGTCTGGGAAGAAGAATAACAGAAAAAGGAAGGCCAG